AACAAAGGACCTTTAAGGCTGAAGGACAGAGACTGCAGCTGGGACTGAGCCTGGGCCTGGGGTCAGATGACCCTGCATCCCCCTCCTGAAGCATGGCCCTGGGTTCCAGTCCTGTCTTGGTGACTTACTAGCTGAGTCACCTTATACAAGTTACTTTGCCTTTCTGAGCCCTGGTTTCTCCTGTACAATCAGGATAATAACAGTGCCTATTTCATACGGCTGTTGTGAGCCTGGTATATAGTAAGAGGTCAATTAATGCAGAGGCTGTGCAATCCTTTTGGCCTCTCTGGGGCCTCAATTTCCTTACCTACTGAAGAGAGTGGCTCATGGGCTTCTAGGGGTACAGAGATGACTGCACAGGAAAACAGGAGAGAAAACACCTTGCAATTACACAGTGCTTTGCTCACGTCAGTGGCAATTACTCCTGGGTGTGGACACAAACCGTGCCTTCTGAAAGAATCTTTTCACGTGGCTTCTGCCCCTCAGCAGACTGATGCCTGGCCCTCCTCAGCCTATCAGAGCACAGGGGATCACCAAGCTCCATGGTGCCCATCAGCTCGGAGGTGCTGGGAGTCCCCAGTGGGCAGGGAAGAGAATTGGTTCTGGAGGCGGGTCAGGCACCTGGGAAAACCAATCTGGCATTACCACTCCTGCTGGTCCCGCCAGCCCCAGCTTGCTCGCCATTCACAATAACGACTGCTTGCATGGAGAGCTCTCTGCTGGGACCTCCTGAGGCCTTGGGCCTCCACTGCCTGGGAAGGGGGTTGAGACATCACCCCCTGTGGGCCTTCTGGAGCCCCTCTTCTCCTGCCCACCCCCCTCCCCTAGCCTCTTACCTGATGTCTGAGTCACACTTAGGCTCCTGTCACCGTGAGCGGTGTTGTGACGCCTGGCTGACAACTTTACCACAAACACATTAAAAGCTCCCAGCACTTCTGGGTGCGTAATAGCCCAGGAGAAAAAAGCCTCTCCCAGGCTTTCTTCAACCAAAATCCTCCTCCCAAACCCTCCTCCCCCAGGGGCCTGCTCCCCACCACCTTTGACTGCCCGAGCCTAAGAAAGAGCTAAGATTTGTTTTCCTATCAAGCCTTTCCAAGTGACGATTAGAGGAGGGCTGGTAAGGGCAGGTGCCTGAGACCTCTGAGGCCATGCACCTCATCAGGCCATCTCAGGCCATGCAGGAGCAGCACATCCCTCCACCTGTGAGCCCCGGAAGGTGAAGATGCAGAGAGAGCGCAACTCATCTTCAGCTCTGCCTCGGAGGACAGGGGAGCGAAGGATGAAATGTGAAATGTGCGTAGAGTGGCCTGATACTGAGTGCTTCCACGTGCTGGTGTTGTGTTCATCCTCCTAGTAACCCTATGAGGCAGGGGCTGAGTTATCCCCACTTTACAGATTAGGAAACTGAGGCTTAGAGAAGTTCAGGCACTTGCTCAAGTCCAAAGACCTAGGAAGTCAGGGAGCTGGGACTTGCATTCAACCCTCTGCCAGCCTGCAAAGTCGTTCTAAGAAGACTGCCTGCTTCCCTATACAGTATCCCTCTTTCTCTCCTCACCCCACCGGAGATGGCAGTAACCTCAGGGTTGCAGTGAGAGCTCAGCCTGCAAATCCAAAATGGAATAAATTCACCTTAGGGGATGGCCTTGCCAGTCCAGCCCCTTTTTCCTCCCATCTGAGCCCACCCATAGGAGCCCCCCACACTGCCATTTTGCCTCACAGACCAAAGCCACCATCCCTTCTTCCTGTCTGCAGCCAGCTGACAAACAGCGAGTCATGTCCCCCTATCCCACCCCCCAGCCAAAGCAGAGAAAAGAGAGGAGTGAGACACAGGAACAATTCTTTTATTGTACATTGGAGAAATAGCCCTGTGTGCTGGTTCAAGGTGCAACATACAGAATATTGAATTAAGAAAAGAAGGAACGGGGAAGGGAAGGGAAACCTCTTGAGGTCCAAAGTTGCAAACAAAAAATGGTAAAAGATTTCCTCACGCAAGAGGCATTTTTGCAAATACCATGCAAAACAGGCAGCTGGTGTGCCTTAAGAGAATCCCTATAAATAACAGAAAAGACACTCCAAGCATTCCTGTACGTGGACTCAGAGCACAGAGAAAAGAAACTAAAATGCCTTTTGGCATTTCAAGATATTTGGCACTCTTGTGATTACATTTTTTTACAGTCCATTAAAGAGAATAAACTGACATAATATTAGAGAAATAAACAGGCTGCTCACACAACAGACTGCAAGGGGAGGTTAGAAAAAGCTCAAGCATTTTTTTCTTTGTTTTTCGTGTGTGTGTGTGTGTGTGTGTGTGTGTTTTCTGACATTAAAAAATGTGTCCATTTGCATTAACTTGGGCAAATAGCTTGCAGCAACAAAGAAACACAAGCTTTACAACTCATTTTAAAATAAAACAAGAATCTTTTCTATGTATCATTCCTTAGAAAAGTTCTCCTCTTGTTTTAAACACATTCCTGATAACTTCTAAAGATGACCAAAATAAAACAGAATATCTACAGAGATCATTTTCTGAATGTTTTATACATCCGAGGATAACAACATAAAAAAAAAAAAATAAAACTGGACAGCATTTCACATCCAAGTGCACAGAACCATTTTGCAAGATTAAATAATGTAAACATTGGGAACAGCCAAATCAGCGAAGAATGCCAACACCTCAAAACACCTGGTGTTGCCGCTTCATTAAGTGGTTCAAAATCCAGATCTATAATTGCGCAATATTCACCGTATAGAAAAAGAAATGGATGTTAATTTTGACAAATAGCTGCAACTGAGACTTCTTTTTTATTTCTTTATATGTGTGTATATAGTGATTTTTTGTTATTTTTAAAATTTTATTTATTTTTTTATTTTTATTTTTGCAGAGAAGCCCAGAGCCTTCTCCTCCTCCTCCTCCTTCTCACGCCTCATCTGTCTCCCGGCCTGACACCAGATACAGGTTGTTGATTTCATCGTGGGTAGCAAGCTAGTAATACATTTCAAAGTGCTTTCTCTTTTCATGCTTTTTGCCAATAACTGTTATCGCCGTTCTTATTCTCTCCCTTAACTCATTGTCTTTGGGGGAGTTAGACACCAGGGGGTGCCTTGTCGGTCATATTTTTCAGCACGTCATCAATCCTATCATCTTCAATAACAACTGCAAAAAAGGGGGGAAAAAAGAGGTGAGCGCGCTTGGGCCTCGCCGGAGATCTCTGACATTTCCCGTTAAGCCCAGAGTTGGAGGTTGGGAGAGGAGAGGGCGAGAGATTGTGGCTCACTGCGAGGTGAAACAGCTCCAATCTCCTCCTCCCCTGCTGGGGGTCCCTACCCTGCTTTCCTCGGAACCACCCCACCACCCCCTATCCTCCAGTCAGCGTCCCAGCTCCTTTCTGAGAAAAGGAAACAGAGAGGGCGCCAACCCGGCCGCTCCTGCTGCAGCCAGGGTGCGCACTCGCCGCGTCCTTCCCGCACCGGGTGCGCTAATTTAGACAGAGAGGTCTGGAGCTGTGGCAGGGGAAGGAGCCAAAGTCTTCGGGTCTCGGGACCCTCGGGGAGTCCCGAGCGCAGCTCCGGTGGGCAAGGCTGGGTGCGGAGGTGCGTGGCGCCAGAAGGGGACGCCAAAGCCGGTTCCCACGACGCGCAGCGGGTGGGGGTTAGGGCCTGGCCTGGGTAGGCGCCCACTCCTGCGCGCCCTCTCACCGCCGCGGACCTACGGACTCAGCCGCTCCGCGCTCCCCGCTGCGGCAAAGGTCAGAGCCCCCCTTAGCTGCCTGCCACTGACACTCGCCGTAACCTCCGCCTCTCTCACCGTCTCGACCTAGCCTCGCCTTTCTCGGTCCCTCCAAAAGTCCCTCGGCTCTAAGGCCGCCGATCGAGGTCTCTGGGTCTCCCTGTCTAAGGTGTTGGTCGCCCTTATTGTTCTGGCGGCTTCTGCGTCTTCCCCAGACCGGTGTCCTCGGCTCTGTCTCTCCGGCTCCAGCTCCCCTCTCGGGAGCTTTGTCTCGGTCTCAGCCACCCTCTGTCTCCCGCGTACCCCCTCCCCTCCATCTCTGCGTCTCAGTCTCTTTCGGTAGCCCTCGGTCCCCCTCATTGTCCCCGAGCCTCTGGAGCTCCTCTGGGAGCCTCTCTCCCTCTCCACCTCTCTGGGGCTTTTCCGATCGCCCAGGCCTGGCAAACCCCCTCTCAGGCCAAGTAACAATGAAAAGCCCGTGCAACCCGAACGCCTTCGCCTTCTCCGCAGGAATTGGGATCCTCCTCACGCAGGTCCCCACGCCGTCCCCTGGGGGACCCTGGGACCCCCTCCCCCCAGGGTTGTGGAGCTAGCGCAGCTGCGGACTACACTGCGCAAAAGGCGGGGGTGGGGGCGCAAATCAAAAAGCAAACTTTGCCGCCGGTGGAGACCCCCAACTGCAGCTAGAAGCCGCCACGCCCCCGGGGTGACCCGGCCGGGGATCGGGCTTAGGGGGACGCGTGCCTGCGACCCGCTTCAGCCGGACCCGCAGTGTGGGTTCCCCCAATTCTGCAGGAGGGGATTCCGTCGGGTCTGAACGGGATCCGGCGGGTGGGAGACATCCGAAACCCTGGCGCTGGCCGCGGCGCGGGGGAAAGCGGGTGTCAGGGAAGGGGGCCGCGAACTCACCCCGCTTGCTCCGGCCGATCTGGCCCAGCTTGGGCGGCCGCTTGTTCTGCCCGGCGCCGAAGAAGTTGTTGGTGTCCTGCAGGCGGCAGGAGAAGATCTGGCCCACGTCGCCGCCGTCGCCGTAGGGGCTCAGCTTCTCGTCGCCGTAGGGCAGCACCTCCGACATGGTCGCGTCCGGGGGCTCCGCCGCGGCGCCTCCTCCGCCCGCGTCCCCGCCCGCGGCGGACAGGGTCAGCGGCGCTGGGGCCGGGGGCGGCCGGCCGGGGACGGCCCGCGGGCTGCTGCGGCGGTGGCGCCGGTGAGAGGCCGGGGGACGCCGCTAGGGCAAGAGCGCGGCACCCGCGCGAGCGGCCCGGAGAGCGCCCGCGGCTGCGCTGCGCTGCGCTCCGGCTCCGCGCGCGAGTGGCTGCTGCTCCGCCAGAGGCGAGCAGGACTCACATCCTCGGCGCGCTGGGGCTCTGGGCGGGGGCCGGGCCGGGCGGGGCCGCAAGCCCGGAGGGAGGAGGCGTCCCTGCGAGCCCGGAGGGCGCGGGACCGAGGAGGGCGCACCCCGGGAGCCGGGCGGGCCGGTCCTGCGGCGAGTGCGGGCGGCGGCGCCGGTTCGGGGAGGCAGACTGGGAGCTGCGAGCGGCGGGGCTGCGAGGGGTGGAGGGGGAGGGGAGGAAGGGAGGAGGGAGGGCACCAGGGGAGGAAACCCGGAGGGAGGGAGGGGGAGAGAAACCGAGAGGGAGACGGGGAGAAAAACAGGGACTGAAAGATGGGGAGGCAGGGGAGACGGTGGAAGGAGGCAGAGGAGAGGGGGAGAGGAAGGAGAGGAGGAGAAAGAAGAAAAGGTGGGGGGGGGACGATCTAGAACGGAGAGACAGGGGAGAGATGAGAGGAGGAGGGAAAGGATCAGGAGGGAGAGGAAGAGGGTCGGAGAGGGAAGGAAGGGAGAAAGACAGAGGGGGGAGAGGGAGGCAGGGACAGAAGAGGCAGCGAGCTGCGAGGAGAAATGCCGGCCGCGGCGCCGAGGCGAGGCGCGGGGAGGAGGGCGGGAGGAGGCGGGAGGAGGGGACCCGCGGGCCCCGGGGAGAGATCCCTGCGAGCAGAGCGACGTCACGGGGCCGCGCCGGCTGGCCCGGGCCGCCGCTAGCTTCCTGCCCCCGCCCCCAGCCCCAGCCGTCCCGCCCGCGGGTGTTTACTGGGCCAGGAGCTGCTGCGCGCCCGCCCCGCCGCGGGCTCTGCCTCCCGAGGGGACCTCGGGGGAGTGGGGGTTCCGGGAGCCAGAGAGGGAGTGGACCCACGACGCACAGGCGGGGAAGGGCAAACGCATGCTGACCTCCCTGGGGGACAGATGCTGCGGGGCCAAGATCGGAGGGCTCCAGGGCCACCCGCCGACACAGCCTCCCCCGCCAGCTCCAAACTGGGGGGTCCTTCTCCCCACCACACTTGCTGCCCAATTCAGACCCTTTAGGGCCCAGCCACTGGGGCCTCACAGTCTCCTCCCGCCCCCGCTCAGTCCGACCTGGAAGGCCTCGCTCCCCCCGCCCCCGCCCTACGGCGCAGGACTCCGGCTCCCGCGGGGCCTCCGGGAGGGGGAAGAGGAGGGGGAGAGGGAAGGGGCAGCCCCGCCTCCCGCAGGAGCAGGGAGCGCCTCCTCTCGCCGGGCTCGCCCGGGATGCCTGGCTCTCGGCGTCCTCTGCCTCCGCTGGGAACGTCCCGGGCCTGCCGCCCTCTGCCCTCGGGGGCTTCCCTTCCAGCAACAGCCGCGCACCCTAGGGAGAGACTACGGCCTCTGAGATGAGGACCGGTCTCCCCGATCTTGGGAGGGAGACTGGGGCAGCCCCAGAGGCCTGGGAGGCGCATCTGCCAAGCAGATGGTAACTCCGAGGGGGCAAGGTGCATGAGGAGCGCTCATTATCCTCACCGGAGCCAACAGCACCTGCCTCCGCCGGAGACCGTCTTTGCTCAGCAGAGCCAGCTTGACCACAGGGAGGGGCAAACACCCAAGGTCATGCCAGCTGCTGGAGGCACGGCTAGGAAATACAGCCAGGTGGCCCAGTCTCGCCCAGCTCATTCCGCGGCCCTGCAAGGGGTCCCATCAACAGTGAAAGGAGCTCTCCCTCCCCTCTGGAACTCTGGCAGATGGGGCTGGAGGCAGAAGGGGGAGGTTTTTTTCCTGGTATAACATCTGGTGGGGGCGGGGAGAGTCAGTCCAGCCGCCTCTCCAAACTGTGTAAAAGGGTTGGCTGGCCTCGGGAAGCCAGATCCCCCACGGGGAGGAGGAAGGAAGCTGAGAAAGGGGAGACTGAAGCCACGTGGCAGGTGGAATAAGTATGCCCCTTGGATTCAGGTCTGGGTTTGAATCCCAGCCAGGTGGCTTGCTGACGGTGACCCTGGGCGGGTCATCTCTCCTCTCTGAGCTTCCATGATCTCTGCCGTCAGTATGGATATATGGCTAACTACTGCCTGTGTACCCTGCAGGACAGTTGTGAAAACAAAAATAAAATCAGGCTCTGATGCCTGGCTGGGTGTGGATGTGCAAAAGACATTTGAGAGATGACTTAATGAGTGAGAAACAGCAGTAGCACTTCATTCGTTTCCATTTCAGGACCACATGAGCTGGGAGAATCCTTAGAGATGAGCTGGGCCTATCCCTCATTTCCATATGGGGAAGCAGAGGGCCAGAGGGCCAGAGGCTAGCCCCAAATCTCACAGCTTGTCAATGGCAGAAGCCTCAGGTCCCCAGACTGACCTTGTTCCTCTCCACAAGCCACATGCTCATTCATTAGGGCTTTCCCGAGTGCCTGCTTTGAGGTTAGCACTGAGGCCAAGTGCTAAGAGAGAAAACAAGAGCGTAACAAGCAGGAGACACAAGAAGTGCTGACACTTGCCTCCTGCTTTCTTATTTTCCCCCAAAGCATTTTCACATCCATTATTGACCTTGCATCTCAAAATAAATACCTTTTGAGGTAGAAAGAGGAGACGTTGTATCCCTGTTTAACTGACGTAGCAGAAAGAGGATAAGTGACTTGCCCAAGGTCACAACCTAGTGATAGAGTCAGGAGAAACCACTGTGGCCAGCTGTGATTCCATAGGGGACTTCCTGCAGTGGTGTCAGCATGCAGGGCTGGAACTACCCCATTCATCTCACATCCACCTGGCTCCTTCCCTGCTGCTGAGAGGCACAAAGCAATTTACACACTGAGCACCTACGACAGCCTCACCGTACAGAAGTTAAGCAGAAAGGCACAGCAAGGGCTGACAGATCCCTGCACACACAGCAAGCGAGAGCAAGAAGAGGGGCCCGTTATCTACCCCATCTGTTTTTATGTTTACCTTGCCTTGTTCCAAATAAGGTTAAAGGTGGCAGCATCCCAAGTTCCCAATTCAATACCCACCCCCTTCACGAAGCACATGTGCCTCGTGGCGGTTGACAGCTTGAAAAGCATCTCCGTAACTATGTGCTCATTAATTGCCAAGCTTTGGAAGTGGACAGCACTGGGGCTGTCAGGCCCATTTCACAGACAAGGTGACTGAAGGTGGGGTGAGGTCTCCAAGGTCACGCAGAAGTTCCGCAAGGGCAGGGGGGAATCACTATGGCTTGCCTCCACCCCCATTCCTCTCTCTCGTCTTCATCACAAAGGCCTCACTCAATCCTCCGTTCCTTTCAGCATTTGGTGGAGGCATCCCTTCACCTTGAAGTCAACGCGTGTCCTGGGACTCCATTCCTGCCTGTTTACACTCATTCCCAAAAGCCAAAGGGGCTGGCTCTGAACCAGAGGCCCAGGGCTGTGTTGAAGGGGCCAGACCCAGATGAAGGAACCTAATAAGGCAGGAATGAAGGCTTCCTCCCCACCTCCCCACAAGAAAGCCTGGCAGTATGTGGTCTGGGGCAGTAGTCTAGGATGAAGAGCCTACTGAGGCAGTCAAGTTCAAAGCCCTGGCTGGGCTCAGTGGCTCACACCTATAATCCTAGCACTTTGGGAGGCTGAAGTAGGCAGATCTCTTGAATCTAGGAGTTCAAGACCAGCCTGGGCAATATAGCAAGATCCTCATCTCTACAAAATATTTCAAAATGAATTGGGCATGGTGGGGGACGCTTGTTATCTCAGCTACTTGGGAGGCTGATGGGGGAGGACTGTTTGAGCCAGGAAAGTTGAGGCTATAATGAGCCATGATTGCGCTACTGCACTCCAGCCTAGGCAACAGAGCGAGACGCCATCTCAAAAAAAAAAAAAAAAAAGTTAAAAACTCTGTTCTGTCATTTCTTAGGTCTGTGATCCTTTCACCTCTCTGTGCCTAAGTTTTTTCATCTGTCAAATGGGCATAAGAATCCTTACCACTTGGCGGTTTATTGTGGGAAAGGAGATCATACATACACGTCTCGCAGAGTCAGTCCTCTATAAAGGTGGTTGTTATTATTTGCTGTGCGCTCTCTTTGTGGATTTGAATAAGCTGCCTCTGACTCTACATCACACAAAGGGAAACCTGGAGAAGATCACATCTTTTCAGTGGCAAAACCACTTCTCCCACATCTAAAGTAGATAAAACCTGCTTGAAGCAAAGGTGGGGGTCCCAGGGCCTTACTCCAATCTCTCCCCGAAACTTCACCTGAAACTCCTTCTCCAAACCCCAGGACTCTAGAAGTAAGAACCACAGAAACAGACCATCCCCATGGGCCCTTTCAGCACAGATATTCCAGGATCAAAAATATGTATTTGAGAGCCCAGACTGTGCACCAAGACTCACACTCAAGCTGGTGGGATAAGAAAGGGGAAGGTCAGCCCCAGCAGGGCCCAGCACAGAAGGGAGGCTCAGCAAACATCCGTTTCCCCTTGATCTCGTCTCCTCCCTCCAATCCAGATGGGGAAACTGAGGCATGGACAGCAGCATCAGACAGTGACTGGCAAGACGTAGAGAAGAATGTGGCTGTAGGACAGCCCAGCCCAGGCCTCTGTGCCTGCCTTCTGGGGTCCGTTTCTTCACCTGGGCATTGGATGGTGGGCCTAGCCCAGCTCCCGTAGAGATGGGGTGCTGAGAATGCTGAGGTTTGCCAGAGCCAGCTCAGACCCTAGATGGTCAACAGGAGAGGCCAGGAAGCAATGCCATGTCAATAGCCAGCGGGTCACCTCCAGAGGGGCTAAGTGGCCACCCAGTAGGGAATCACCATTCTGAGCCAGAGGTGTATAAAAACCCAAGGCCCCACCACCCTCTCAGCTCAGTGACTGGAATCTGGATGCAGCCACTTCCCTTCCCTATTCTATTTGAAAGGCAGGGCCTCTGCCACCAACCCTGCCTCGTGACCACACACACACACTCACATGCGCGCACACACACACACACACTCACACACTCACACGCGCACACACACACACACAGTGAAAGAAGAGCATACTGACTGACTGGAGGTGGCTTAGATCCAGAATTAAGGAATGTTAAGAGAAGAATTCATTCATTCAGCAAACACTCGTTGAGAACTTTTGTGGCAGACACAAGCGGGCCCCCAGTTCAACTCAAAGAGTGTTAACTTATTTCTCTCTCTAATCACTAAGGCCTTCTTCCAAATAAAATCTTACAAAAAACTTCAATAGATGAAACTTAGATAAAGGGTAAGCTGATGGAGTCACAGGGGTCAGAACCCCACCTTCGGGACCATCCATCCCCCAGCTGGTCCCCAGTGGTCTCCAAGGGACACCAAAAGCTCTGCCAGGCTTGGTGCAAAAGCCAGTCCTAGAGCTCATCTAACTCCTCACATGACAGCTGGGGAAACTGAGGCCCAGCCAGGGACCCATAAAACACAGGTTTCCTCACACCCAGTTTCACATTCCTGCCACTGGGACATGACATGTGTCATACGTGGAGTAACAAAAGGGAGGGAAGTTCCAGCAATGAGCGATCAGTCACAAAATAAAGGATCATTTTTTCTCACAATGAAGTTTGGCGTATTTCTTTAAAATAAAATAAAAAGATCATAGGGTCATTTTTAAAAGCTTTTATTGCACCAACAACCTACAGAATGAGAGTCCCATGGACTCTTCAGGAAAACATAAAAAACCAAGAGGAGAGCTGGGAAGGGTTTAGGAGCCCAGCCTCACGAGGGTGTGGGAGGGGTAAGGCCACCATCCACCCAGGTGCCCAACTCTGCCCCCTGCCTGTGTGCCCCACCCCCCATTCCCATCATTCCACATCCGCAGTGTGTGAGGACCGGGTGAGGACCAAGGGAGTTGGGCCAGGCAGGGGACTCGGCTTGGAGCTCTGAGAGAGAAATTCTGTCTACAACTCCCAGTCCAGACTGAGTGGATAGGAGGTGCTGGGGCTCCAGGCACCCTGGAAAACTCTCGCTGCCTGTCAAGCCTGGAGATCGAGGAAAGAAAAGCAGACAGATCTGACACAATCATACTTCTACAACCACAGGAGTGTCCTCAAGACCCTGGGGGCGGGGACGACTTTAGCCCCAATGGACAGATGGTGAAACTGAGGCTCAGGAGGTTTGGAAACATGGCCTGGCTGCAAAGCCCAGGCTCTGAAAACATCACATGGCCTATCGGGCTTCTCCTGTCTGGGGGTCCCAAGAAGCTAGAGGTCCCCCTAACTAAGCGGCCCCTGACTTCAACAGAGCAATGAACTGAGCCAAACTGTGGCCACTGAAGGTGGCCAAGGAGGAGCTGACCCCCACCCCAGCTCAGAAGGGGAAGCCACTGCCCTCTGATTCCAGTTCAACACCCCACCCCCATCATTACTGAGAGCTTGCTATAGCCCAGGGTCATACCAATCCCTGTACCCATGCCTTTACCCCAATAGCCACAGAGGGTGGCTGTGACTGTCACTTCTATACCACGAAGGAGGGCTCCAAGGCCAGAAAAGTTCACAGATGAGCCCAAAACCACACAGCCAATGGGAGGCAGCAGGTTGGACACCAGAGGCCCGGCTTGCCCACTGTTGGGTGGCACTGCCTCCCTGAGCAGGCCCGGGGCCAGGAGAGTGGGCAAACCTCTTCTAGTCCCTATACCTCAGCCTAGCCCCAGAAACAGAGTGGGCACAGATCACGGTCCAAAGCTCTCACAGGCCGAGGACCCCTTCGGGAATCGGATGGAAGAGACAATTCTCTCTCCCAGAGGCAGAACATTGGG